TCCCCGCTTATGCAAATGAAGCCTGGGAAATTCAAATCCCGGGCTTCATTTGCAAGTGCGGTATGCATACATTACCCTCCTAGTTCGAACTAGCGGGGTAGTGTAGACATACCCTTACATCCCTAATTTCAGCCATGCTTTCTGGAGAGAGGCTGCTTTGTAAAACCATTCCCAGCTCTGCTAATGCAGCCAAGCTGTGAATCAGAGCCCAGCTACAAACTCAAAGAAGCCCCAGCTGAGGCTTCTTGATGGCAACCTGAAGATTCTGCCCCTTGCAAGTTGATGGTTGCTCTGGGTCACAGAATTCCCCGAGGATGCAGAGCCACAAACAGCTGGCAGTGCATTGTGAAGCCAGGACCAATCCAGAGCAAGCCCCATTCTCCTAACACAGGGTTCTCAAACTAAATTTCATTGTGACCCCTTCTGACAAGTTACTACAGGACTCCAGGAGGGAGGACGGAAGCCTGAGCCTGCCCAAACCCTACGAAGCCCAAGCTCCATGACCAAGAGGCTTCAGCTCCAGGTAGAGGGCCTGTCACCTTAGTCCCATCATCCAGAGTTGAAGCTTTAGCCGCAGGCGATGGAGCTCAGGCTTTGGCTTCAGCCCCAGCAAGTGTGATACCAGCCCTGGCAGTCCCATTAAAATGGTGTTGCCACCCACTTTGAGGTCCCAACCCAGAGTTTGAGAATGGCTGTCCTAACCAACCAACTGGGCTACAACACAAATCCAAACTCAATATCCCACCCACCCTGGAAACCTTCAGCCCTGCCCAGGAGGCTGAGATATGGATAAAAAAAGAGACGGTAGCAATTATTTCTCTCTCCTCTTTCTCTGCTGGCATCAGCACGCTCCTCTCTAATGAGCGCAGCTAAGGATGGCAGGCTTGGCTATCTTAATTGCACAAATTAAAGAAGAAGCAGCAGAACTGGCTGCACAAACACACACACACACACACACACACACACACACACACACACACACACACACCATGCACATGCTCCATAGTGTCACTATGTTCACAGTTTTGCCAAGTTGCCAAGTGCTCATAATACAACCTGCATTATGCTAACATCAGCAAAACAAGAAGACGTGGGAGGAGAATTAAATCTACAGGAGCTAATTACAGCAGCTCTGCTCTGTCTCTGCATTGTGCCAAGACAAATGGCATGCAAGCGTGCAGCCACCACACTGTAATGATGACAAACGGGCTGGCTGCCAAGGCAACAGAAGTGCCCAACTGCCTCCAGAACAGTGGCTGCAGATGATGCAACCCAGTCAAAAAGCCAATGGGGAGAAGAAGGGGGGGCAGGACAGAGGAGCTTTTAGGGCTGATTCTAAGTCACTTGATAAGGCACCGGCTCAGACTGAAACAGAAGCTGAGACAGAGCTGCTTGGTGAGGCCAGTGGAGGGTGGGGAGAGGGGGATTCTCAGCAGGGATGTGGGAATTTAGACTGCATTATACACTTTATTAATAATACAAGGTTCAATTTTCTTAACCCTTTAATTTTAATGGAACACTCACTGCACTCTAATTAAATTCATAGCAAGGAATAGGCCCAGGAGGGGAGTTTGCAAAAACAAAATCAGTCCTGTTTTAGAAATCCACAACCAGGCGCAATTCAGATCCTAACTTATCTGGGCGCTTACAACCCCAGGTTTGGGAAGGGGAGGGTTGGGTTGGAGTCCGTCTCTGGAATAATCAGAGAGGACATGGTTTGGGATTTTTACAACAGCCTCATTTGTCAGGTTTTATTTAGCAGAGCTGAAATTCAAACCCAGGTTTCATTTAATCCAAAATCTCCAAGGCTGGAGAGGGGAGGAACTGGATTGGGAGGGTAACGTTCTGATTCAAATCATCTTTCTGAACTATGGGGAAGTTTGCATCTAAAATGTGGTGGGGTTTTTTTCAGTGGGTTGATCACTCTGGATTAAATCCAGAAGCAAATGCCACAGCTCATGCCAATTGGCAGTATTCTTGTCACACAACATTGCAGAACCACTTGCCTCTCTTGACGTAGGCTTCCCCCTGAAGAATTCATGATTGAGAGAGCTGTGTGGAGGGTTGAAACGAGACTGAAGGAAAATGCATCCATTGGCTATTGCTTCTAGAGGGGCAGGACCTTCATAGGGAAATCCAAATCCGATGAAAAGCTGCAGGAAGTAAAACCATAAACCCTGGTACCCTGAGTCAGGAACACCATCACCCAGACCTTTTTCAATATCCTGGATTACAGCACTAATCTGAACTACTTCTCTGGTGCTCAGCTCAATAGACCTGTAGGCTGATCAAACAGAACTTGAGGTAAGGTTCTCTGTAGTTCACAATAGCTTGAATGTGTTACAAAGTTCTCCACAAACTGATGTCTTTATCTAAGCTATACTGCACACAGTACACCTTCACCTCTTTGTTTATAACAGCAACTCTGCCATTAATATCAATGGGAGTTGTACCTCCTTACATCATGCTTGTATTTGTCCTACTATTTCCACAATGAAAACTGCTGGCTTGCTAGATATCTAATCATAACTATGCCGAAAACAGTAGCAGACCTAGGTGAAACAGCAGCTACATGCACTAGTTTATCATGTAGAGACTTGGTTTTATTTCCTGGTCACAGCATGAAATGACTTTGAATGTTTAGCATGCCAATGGACATTTCCACATCATGTAATTCAGCCATAGTTGGCAGTCCTTACTGAGGCTAGGTCTAGACTGCAGCGTTTTTCCTGAAAAAGCTGTGCAAAATGCACTCCACATTTTGCATAGCTTTTTCCGCTTTTTTTTTCTGGAAGAGGCTTTTCTGCCATTTGGCCCTGTCTAGACGGGGCCAAATGGTGGAAAAGCCTCCTCTTTTGGTGGAGTCCTTATGCCTCGTGAAACAAAGTATATGGGGCTCCCCAAAAGAGCATGTTTGCTCTTCCGCGAAAAAAGCAGAAGAGCAAACGTGTTCCTTGGACACGGTGTGGTTTTTGTGGGATATCTCTGGTATCCCGCAAAAGCCCCAATGTCTAGACATAGCCTCAGAATATAAAAGGGGTGTTTTATATCAGTGGGTTGGCAGTGCTGGAGGTGGATGGGAAAATATGCACTTTGCCTAACTCTAGCACGTGCTTTGTTGCTGGACTCAGATTGCAACGTCAGAACTAACAACTTCAGGATCTAGTTACACTGCTGTTCAATCAATCCATGGACCCTGGACAGAGATGAGCAAATATTGGCCAAAGTGGTCAGGGACATTCAGTGGAACCCTAAGGAAAATTCTGTAATTCACATTTCCTTCCCATGAATGCTCAATCTCTTAAACTCTAGGGGTATGTCTAGACTATGTGGTTCCATCAATGGAGCCATGTAAACTAGTTTACCCGACATAGTCAATGAAGTGGGGATTTAAATAATCCCTGCTTCATTAAAATAAAAAATGGCCACTATGCTGTGCCAACAATCAGCTGATCCGGCACAGCGAGGCAGTCTAAACGCGGATCGGTCAACAAGAGAAGCCTTTGTCAACCGCTCCTGTAAACCTTGTTTAACGAGGCATAAGGAAGCGGTCGACAAAGGCTTCCCTTGTCAACTGATCCGCGTCTAGAAAGCCACGCTGGGCCGGATCAGCTGATTGTCTACACAGCATGGTGGCCATTTTTATTTTAATGAAGCAGGGATTATTTAAATCCCCACTTCATTGACTATGTCGGGTAAACTAGTTTACATGGCTCTGTTGAGGAACCATGTAGTCTAGACATACCCTAGGAGAGCAACTGCTCATAAAAAACACATTCTTATAAAAAAGTATGAATATTTTCCAAATGTAAGTTCTAAATATTATACTCAGTTGTAAAATTTAAAATGCAAAATTTGCACCATCTTTGTACAGCCATGTGGTATAGCTTTTCTTTCCTGATGATATAATTAATCAACAGAACTCAAATAACCAGTATGACATTCAGTTTTACCATTTCAAATTGGGACTGTGCAGGTTGGTTCCTCAAGTTAGCCACTTGAGTACTAGCTCTGTAAATCACATGAATTAATCACACTGCAAGTTGTTCACAGTTCAAATAACCTGCAGACTGATGACTTCAGTGAACAATTTTGAATAGCAAATGCCCTTGAAAATTTTGTGACCTAACCATGGACAATTTATGAAAAGGAGAAATCAGCCTAATAAATCCTCTGTTGTTATTATTATTTGCTTGGTTCAGCTCCTAAATAAATACTGTTATTGACATGGTCTGCAAACCAGGGCGTCAGTGGTACTAGCCTCAGCCTCCTCTGTCTAAAAGAGTTTCAGCTACTGAATTCCCTCTCAGATTACATTTCTGAAGGCAACTCTGGTCTGCCTGCTTAGCAAAGGGTTATGTCCGTGGTCACCAACCAGTAGATGGGTATTGGAATCTACTGATAGATCTTGGCGCCTCTGACAGGTGATCCTGACTGGTTTGGCCAAGAGGCTGTCAAGTGCAGCACTTCAGCTACCCCTCCCCCCACTGCTGTGCATCTCCTGCCCTTTGCCTTGGAGCTGCTCCTCCCCCTTGGAGCTTCCTGCTTTCTGTGCTGTGCAGGGGAGGGAGAGGAGGGTACTGATGTCAGGGTGCCCCCTCTCCAACGCTGTATCCTTTCTCCACAGAGTAGAGAGGGGGCTCAACAGGACTTGGGAGGCAATGTGCTGGCTGCTTTAGGGAGTGGTGCAGGGCCAGGTCAGGAGTGAGCCTACCTTAGCCCCACTGTACCACCAACCAGGAGCCGCCAGCAGTTCCCAGCTGGGGCCCACATCCAAACTCCTACTCCAGTCATGAATCACATCCTCCACCCCAAGCCTTTATCCTAGCCCCGAGCACCCTTGCATCCAAAAGCCGTCCCAGAGCCTGCACCTAGAACCTCCTACATTCCAGCTGCCTGCCCCAAGAGCAGCTCAGAGCCCCTCACACTCCAGATCCCTTAATCCAAGAGCAGAGCCTGCACCCTAACCCTCTGCCCCGATGAAAGTGAGTGAGGATTGGCAAAAGAGGGAGGATGGAGTGAGCAGGGGCGGGAAGGAGGCGGGGCAAGAGTATTTATATTTGAGGTAGATCTTGGATTGCACTGAAATTCAAAAAGTGATCTGCTCAAAAAGGTTGGAGACCCCCGGGGTTATGCTGGAGTAATGCTGGTCTTTGTCAGAAGCCCACGTTCAAGTACCTTAGCTTTTCTCAGAAGCTGCTGGAACTCATGCTGTGGCAGAAGGCCATGGTTCTTGACAAAGGCTGGAACCTCAGGAGGACGTTGGGTTTCATAATAAACAGTGCCATGGATCTCCATGTACTTGTTAAGGATGGCCAGGAACTTCTCTTTGCCCTGGGGGAGGAAAGCAAAGACTATCAGCTGCATGTGAGCCTCAAAAGAGATGTAACTGATTCCAAAATAGCAACATAAAAGGGTATTTCTTTATTCTGATCTCACTGGAGCCTCCTGGAGGTATGACTACACTGCACTGTAGCCCAGGGTTCAAACTCAGGCTCAAGCCTAACTCACTTTTTGTCTACACACAAATCACACTGATCCAGGATCACAGGATCCATAGGACTCGGGGGTCCAACCTGAGTTAATCCAGAACCCAAGGCTCAAGCCCTGTTTCTTTGAAATGCAGACCTGCTGCACTTGTGCTCTGGGGGCACGTCTAGACTGCCCGCGGGTGTTTTTGTGTGAAAAAAGCAGTCTAGACGTGGTTCTTTTGGGAAAAAAACAAACCTTTTTTGAAAGAACTCTTCTTCCCAAAAAAATGAGGTGTACAGGATTCTTTCAAAAAAGGTTTGTTTTTTTCCCAAAAGAACCACGTCTAGACTGCTTTTTTTTTCTTCAAAAAAAAACTCTTCTGAAAATGGGATCAGAAGAAGATATACAAATTCACGCTGAATTTGCATATCTTCTTTCGAAAGCTGCGGGCAGTCTAAGCGTGCCCTGGGAGTCTACCAAAAGTATCCCACAATCCCATGGGCTGACTTTCTTTGTCTTCTGGTAGTCATGGGCTAGAGTGGCAACATTTTGGAAAGGTGCTAGGAAGTCTGGAATAGTTGATTGGATTTTTTCTGGATACTGAAGTGCAGGTCCTGGAACCCTAGTTTGGAAGATTCTTAATCTAGGTTTGACAATCAGTGTTGGCAATCTGACACTGGATTTACATTGCCATGTAAACATGCACTAAATGATCTCCACTCTAGCAGGGAGACAATCTTTATGTATAGGAACTCACATATTCCGTGAAACTCATTCTTCAGGGCAGGAAATTCGTCAATAGGGAAGACAAAATTTTAGGACTCCTAGACAATAAACCAATTTCACACTCATGTAATCCCACTGAATGATGTGGAGTTACTCCTCAGTGATTTAGGCATGATTAAGAGCAAACTCCAGTCCCTGAATCAGATCAGATGTGATGTTCCTGGCAGTGTTGTCTTCAAGTTGTCATTGTCAAGTCCAAGTCGAGTCTCAAGTCACTACAGTTCAAGTCTCAAGTCGAGTCTCGAGTCCCTAAAGTCACTTTCAAGTCAAGTCCTAAGTCAAGTCTCAAGTCTTAATTTAAAAAATGTCAAGTCACTTTTGTACAAACCATCAATATCAGCATTTTCAGACAATTTTTTCACCAAGTTGTTTTAACAAAATTAGCAAGTCTCAAGTCGAGTTTCAAGTCACAAACAATGAACCTGAGTCGAGTCGCACTTAGGCGACTTAAGTCGGACTCGAATTCAAGTCGTGGGACTCGAGTCAACAACTCTGGTACCTTGTCTTGGATATACTCAGCCCCATAAAGAGAGACTGCCTAAGAAATGCCATACAAGAACAGCTCAGTTGTCTGTCTGAGCAAATTCCCTGGCTTAACCTTAAACACTGGAAGTCACAAATCCTCTATAATTAGGAGTATTACATGATTAAAAAAAATAATCACAATTAATTACGTAATTAAAATATAATTGTGATTATCTGCTTGATTAATGGTGCTATTAAACAATAATAAAATACCATGTATTTAAGTATTATTGGATGTTTTCTACATTTTCAACTATATTGATTTTAATTACAACACAGAATGCAAAGTGCTCAATGCTCCCTTTGTCATATATATAGTAGCCCATTGTCTGTGAGTCTGTCACACTGATGTACACGGTCACTCCCACTGGCCGTGTACATCAGCGCCCCACCCCCCCTTACCCTCCCTCGGTGGCAGTTCGGCCCAGTGCTGCGCTGCTCAGCTGGGCCCTGGCGGAGGGAGCAAGAGGCGGCAAGCACGCGTGGGGAGCACGGACCCCAAAGGGCTGCTTGCTGCCACTTGCTCCCTGCCAGAGCCCCGCTGAGTGCTGCTCAGCTGGGCCCGGCGGGGGTGGCGGTCCG